CTTGGGAAGGGGATAGCCACCAAGCCCTGTGCCAGCTCAGCTTCAGAACACCTCTTCCCAACCTGCCTGATGTCACCATCGCAGTCCTTGGGTTGTTTCAGCTCGCCTTTCCCTCCCCTCACGTGTGAAGGCATCACGATGGCTGTCTGAGTCCTGCAGTTAAATATGGGTGCATGGGTCCATAATGGTACATTGTAAGAGAATGTCTCAGGGTAGGCAGCAATAATAATTAGCTGTCAAGATTTGAAAAAAGGATAATCCATGCCATTGAGTTAACAGTCACTCACACAACACACATGGATTTAACTAATCTTAATTTGGAGAAAAATAACAATTCTAAATATATCAAATAGCCCATTTCATGGCAACCTGCAGCGGTGTTTATCTCTGGCTTCCAGCACATGCGAGTTATTTAGTTTCTCTCACTGGCAGTTTTACCATTCAAAAGCCTGAAATGAACATTCATGGAGCAGGGGTTGCAGTTAAATCCTGCCTCTGATAGGGAGCCTTTTTTCATGATGTACATCTACTACAATGTATGGAGCCCAGCACTGGTGGCTGGGACAGGATGAATGAAGAATTCCAATCAACCCCCTCCTCTTTCCTAGCACTATCTTTGCAAAAATTAGCTCATCATCTTAGTGAACCTCTGCTGCTGCTGCAGTTATATATTTGTGAAGGTCTGCTGGCCTGAAGGTGCAGGCCTGCCAGTGAATCTGGAGAAGTTCTGCTCCAAGTGGTGCCTGCTCCACAGAGGCTCCCTCCTCTTTGCTGGGGTTCTGTGAAAACACTCAGCATTAAAATCAAGCTACTGGTACTTTTTTTTTTGACTTGGGTAGTTTCAGAGAATCCTTCTAACAAACAGACCACAGGGCCATGGGGAAGAGATGAGATACCATCTGTGAAACGACAGTGGGAGCACCTTCCCAGGTCATTCTTCAGCCAGGACAGGTCACCTGGTTATGCCCAAGATCTGATAAATATGAAAGATAAAAAGAAGTATAAAATACAACAGTGGTCTATTTTTTTCCAAAATACCTGCCAGCAGTGAAATAAAAGAAGCAGTGACCGATAACTGCTTGCCAACTCATTGGCCTGGTTGTGTTTTGCTGTGCAACAATCTGGTACATCTCTTCGATACTATCACACCCTCTGTACAAGAGGCAGAACTGATTTTCAAACAGGTCAGCCAATTCGCAAAACAGAAAAAAAAACCTTTACAGGGCAGACTGCTCCTAAGCAAGTCACGTCCTCCCAGTGCCAGCTGACATGCTACCACACATCTTACGGACAGTGGTAACTAAATGAAAACACCTCCAAAACTTGGATTTGCAAGTTACCAGTCAGGGAAAGATGACAGATTTCATTATCAGAAGATCTTTAAAAGCTGATTGCAGAGACAAAGTTGCCTTTGTTTCCACTGGAATATAGAAATGTCTGTCAGAGATTTGTGTTGCATACATAAAAATTCTCGTGGGCTCCTAAGCTCTGCCTCAACGTGTCCCTCAAAGCAGCACAAGGTCTGTTGTGTGGTCAAGAGGCATTCAGTGGCTGGGGCAAGAAGAGCTACCCAGAAAGTAAAAAAAAAAAAGAGAGGAAGAAAGGCCTCAAGAGCACCCTGTGCCAGGATGAATACTCAGCGCGGTTTCTGCATCCCAATATCCTCACACCCAGAGCTACGAGAGGTACATGGGGCAGAGCCAAGCTCAGCACTTGACATACCCTCAGAGCATTCAGCCATAGGAAGCTGTAAGGTCTGGTGGCTTTGTCACACCACAGAAGGCTTTACAAATCATTCCGACCAAATAAGAAGGTCTGCAAAAATAACACAGGATCAAGGAGAGGAGCTGAAACCTCTTCGAGGACAGCAGTGGTGGCAGCATATTTCAGGGAGCCAGAGTGGCGAGTGGGTGATTTCTGCTTTCCCTCTTCAAATATAAAGACTCAATTATCTTTGAACAGCTTGCTTTACACATGAATTGACACATTTATTTTACAATAAATAACTGAAAGTTATCTATGTTTCCTTTACTGTTAATCTACACAAAGAAATAATAAACAGAGCTTGTCTACAAAAATGCAACTACTGCAGTCCTCAGAATTCAATTAAGCTAAAATAATTAATGCTTCCACCATATTAAATTACTTTATACATTTGAGCCACTGAAGTTTTTTTTTTTATTCTTTAATCTTTTTCGCCTTTTTATTTAATAAAAAAAGTTAGTTTCAAAGGGGGGGGGAGCTGGCTAGGAGGGGGAAAAAGAACATGATTTGCTGTTAAAATGTAATGGTCTCCTTTAGCTGACACAGCATGTAGAGTGTTTTGTGCCTTTGATTAAAATAACATTTTAAATGCTTTGAACAAACATATCTCCCCATACTTCTAAGGGATTATTTTACATATTTCTTGGTGGAATAAAGAAATTCATTCTTCCTGTCGCAGTACAGAAAGGCTAAGAATATCTTTCGTCACATATAAAGTAAAAATACTGTAGGCTGTTGCATTATTACCAAAAAAATAAAAAAATAAAGGGAGGGGGTGGCAGGGTAGGAGAAAGCTGCCTTAGAGATTAAGTTTCCCTTTTATGAAATCGTATTTAGTCTCTTTTTTTAACAAATCTAACAACAATGCTCTACAGCCGCTCACTGGGAAATACCTTTAATGTTAAATGCAGATTCTGATTTTCTTGGCTAATGCAGAAAGCCTTTCTATTGAAATATAAATAAGGGGTTTGGTATATCCCACTAAAGCCTTTCCAGTGAATGACTTCTGTGGGTTTTTCATGGCTACCCTCCATGGCTGTAATGTGAGGCTTTTATCCCACTATTGAAAACTATCCGCTGCTATTAAAAAAAATATGGAAGGACACTGCACCTTTTTATCTCAGAGCTGGGCTCCTAATTGAGAAAGTATTATTACAGCACTGTTTAGTGGATGTCCCTATCTCCATGCACTGCTGAGAAAATGCCAATCAAATGATAAACCCTTTTATTTTTCCTCAATTCAAAATCTTTCCTACATATTTTTCATTTGATATTCAGTTTAGTCTGAAAGAGATTAGGTGCTCCAGATTAGCTTTTAATTTTTTTTATGCCTTTTCCACATGTGAACATTTCCTTCACGACCTCCTACCCCAGCAGATTTTCTGCATGGCAAAAGCTTTGGTTATGTTGTTGCCAACCCCCAGAAGCTGGGATGGGACAGCACCCTCTGCTCTGGGAGTAGCCATTGAGGTACTGTGGACTGAATTTGAGCAGAGATTAGTAAGAGATGAGCTCTGGACTGCAACTGCAGCAGAGCTCTCCTAAAAAGTGCCTTACCAAGCACTGCACACCCTCCGCAAGGGACTGAGTGCCATCAGCTTGCACAGATCAACAGCTTCTGGGAGTGCTCAGCAGCACTCAGGCAGCCTTCAGCAGACCAGGGAAGGTTCTGAATACTTCCCTTCTGCTCCTACCAAATGGAAAGGAAATCTAGCCCTCAAATCTGCTTCACCACAATGTAATCACCTCTACCAAGAAATGTATTCACGACTGCAAAAGGATGAGGAAAGCTGAAAAGGGATGCGGAAAAGACAGGGTCAGGTCTTACGGTAGGTTTGCTTCCAGTGCTACAGCAAAGGCCTGCCACAGCTAATGCTCCCAGAGCTAACAGCTGCCCCATGTCAGGGTGGTGGCTGCACCCCAAAAAAATAGTCCTAGAAGAAAACAGTGTAATCAATGGGCATTGTATGCCCTGTCCTAAAAGACAGAAGGTCTGAAGCCCTCAGCCTTTTAAAGCCCACACCCTCATTGATGTGATACCCAAGCCTGTCAGAGGTGCTGGGGACTTGCTCAGACATCTCCAACACTAAAGGCAGAAATCTCTTAAGCTTCAGGTGTAAAGATAGGAGCCTCTCACCTGTCTGCTGGGGATCCCCTCATGGGAGCATCTCTACCACAGGCTGGACTGGATCTGGACTGTCAGATCTAATCCCGTAGGACAATTCCTAGATAAATCAGGATACTGGCAGCAAAGGCAGATTGTCACTGGTCTTCTGTATGGGATGCAGTTGGTTTGAACAAAAAAGGCCCGTTTGAGGGGAGATCCTGCTGTGTAACATAAAACCCCCACTCACTAGCAGGGAGGAGAGTCATCCTTTCACCACTGCAGAGGGGAAAAACACCCTGCTTGATGGAAGCAACCCCATGCCAGGCACTCTGCAGGAACCACTGCATACCACCTCACCTAGGTGGATAATCATCACCTGCCTGCCCACGTCTGAGCGGGGGAGGTCCACTGAATGAACGTTAACTTCACCACACGTGAGAGTTTTAGAAAAAGAAATGCTTGCAATTTACTCACTCAGGCCAGCCTATGCTCTTGTATCCTTATTCAGATCTCTTTGGGGTGTGCATGAGAGTGGAGGTGTTACACACCCAGCCCAAGCCATCTAAGGAGACCCAGAACAGGCAGCACAGGCTGCAGTGCAGGCCAGGAAGCTGACATCTACCCCAGGGAATGGAAAATGAAGGACTTCATGAAACCCTGCTTTAGCCCTCGCAAAGAAATCTTCTTCCCACTACCAGTCAGTGGGAAGAGGACTTTTCCTGGTGTCAGGATGCAGCCCTTCCCAGTGAGTCTGCATGTGACAAAGGGTATCTGGAACAGGACAGAACTGGGAACCTCACCAAAGTCCCCTATCCCTCTGCCACTGCTACTTGCTTAAGGATGCTCCTAAAATGGTTTCTGACCCCAACTTTCTGCTTTTTCCCAGATGTACAGACTGCCCCTTAGCTCTCCCAGCTGCCTGAGAGGCCCCTTTCTCCAGCAGCGGGCCCTGCACAGACAACTACAAAGAATTAAACAGGGGATGGACAGCCTTGCAGAGCTGTGAGGATCCTCCAGATGCATGGCTCCTATAAAGACGTGTTGCTGAAGCCTGTTTCATGGCACTTTCTAGAGGACTCTAGTTAAAAGATTACCTAGGCAAGTTGATTGAGTGTAAAACGTGCTGTACCTGCAATGTTCTCCTGCTTGGGGCAAATTCCTTTTGTAGGCGTGAGAAGACGGTCTTCTTCATCGGGTGTGACTTGGATCCCGATTTCCACTGGCTCTGACACTTTCCTGAGCTCGGCGCGTGAGGAGGGGGGAGGGCTGCTCTTATCCATGCTCTTTTCATAGCAGACACCACCAGTGCCATTGCACTGTTTTCTCTTGTGCTCTATAAAAACCAAGATGTCTCCCAGCGGGAAGTTCATCTGACACTGTCCGCAGGTTAACAAGTCGGGGTCTGTCCCGCCTGCGGCGATGCTGATGCCGCCTGGGTCTGCTATTGCCAGGCTCTCGTCCTCGTCGGCCAGTGCCGGTTCCACATGGTCAGCCTCTGCTTTGCATGGACAAGGAGAAAGAGGGAGGAAAGGGACGAGGGGAAAAGAGAAAGATTGCTTTGAGTGTTCACAGACTCTGAAGGATGCATCACCAGAGGCCCAGCCTCCCCCCACCCCCCTCAAAGGAGCCAAGCCTGATTAGATCTTTCTTTTATTTTTCAGCTTTTCCGCTCTCCCAGAATGATTTCAATATATTTTGCAACCAAGCCTGCCTGAAACAAAATGGAAAGGCTGACCTGGCATAGCTTTCTTGACAGCTCCTTCCCACTGCTGCCAGCACTGCAAGGATATCAGCAAAGAGCCATTTTGCAAGCGTTCGAGCCCCGAGTCACATTCTGAAATAGTTCCTCTCTTTTTATCCCACCTTCTCATTCCCTCCGCGTCTCCCAGCCATCTGGCCAAGGCCCCATCCAGCAAAGTTTATGCACCCAAGTCTTTCCTTCTTTTTCAGGGAGAGGGGGAAAGCTTTTATGCACCAAACTAGCAGGATCAGGCTCCCCGTGCCATACAAAATTATTACCACCTTGTCCCATTACAGAGTTACCGGCAAGATTAAATGACCACCCATTAGCAGAAATTACAAAAAACTACTTGCAAGACTAAAACAACCAGGGTATGGTCTCATGAGCAGTTAAGGGGTTTCAAAAGTGTGCACAGTGGGAAAGGGAATGAGGCACTTATTTAACATACTGGAATATTGGCTGAGCCTGAAATATTCCACTCTATTTTTCCAATGCCAAAAACCCTGCCATTGCTACATAGGCTAATAAAAGTTTTTTTGTTTAAATCTTGTCCACAGACGTGTTGAATTTCCTACCTTTACCCCCAAAGACTGAGAAAGAATTTCTGGGTGACTTGAATCAGTTTCTAGGAAATATGTAACTTGTCATGTCACAATTAATAAAACCCAGTATGTTTTAAATCAGTACTTAGAAGGCAATTTTTACACTATAAAATAATTGTGGATCACAATCCATTTCTGGGGCAAAACATGGTTTTTTGTTTGTTTTGTCTTGTTCTGCCATGTAACTGCCAAATCATACAAACCTTGGACTTTATTCAGGCAAAATTTCCACTGACTTTTGCCTAAGGCTGGTTTTCCTCTGCAAGGACTATAGGATTTGGGCTGAACAAAACAGAGGAACTAACAGTATGTAAATCAGTGGCTGAGACCTCTAATCGAATCAGGATTAAAGGAATAGGAGGAAAAATGTTCTCTATTAGTTTCCTCATGGATTTCCTGGGAAAAGTAAGTAACACAAATATCTCAAAGTAAAACTGTGATAGACAAATGTTATAATTCAGACCTGGACTCTTCTCCGTTCTGAAAACAAAAGGATATTTGTCCCACTCTACAGCAATTGAGGGGAAAAAACCCAACCAAAAAAAAAAAAAACAAAAACCCAAAAAAACCTAAGAAACACATAGAAAACGGACAAGAGGTAGAAGGCGAAATGCATTGCCTGGCAACAAAAATGGTTAAGCCTCGAAAAAAGGTAGTTTAGAAAAATAATCACTCCCATTTTTGCCTTCCAGAATAAATAACTGATCAGCATGTCTACCAGCTGTATTACAAGTTGCATCAGAGCTCTCTAACAGCAGAGCAGAGAGCGGCAGCAGCAGCGACAGCGACGGCAGAAAAGGACAGGGACCCCAGAGCAGTGCCCAGGCATGGACCATCCTGCTGGAGCCAGCGATGGGCACGAGAAGGCTCATGCTTCCCAACTCACTCATTCTGAAAATCATTAATTACCGTTTTCCTCTTAATCTAGGTTTAAAAGGAGTTTGAAGACAATACTAAGCAATTAATTCACCAATTTATATCATGAAAAGATGTCTCCTTGCCTTAGTGAAAATGTGACTGTAACCCTGTGCTGAAAAGGCACTGCTGGGAAGGGAGCAGATACCTGCGAACAGTGTGTCACGGTGCAAAAGGTAATTATTTAGTGCTGCAGTTCCCTTTAATGATCTAACATTGAGCAATATTGTTTATATTGAAGAGGGCTTGCACCTTTAATTACCAATTACATATACATCATTTTAGAGCCAAAAGAAAAGGACTGTGAAAAGGGTCTTTTAGAAACGTGCACGCAATTTGTAGCCAGAATTCCTATTAAGGGGGAAGAGTGTGTCAAAATATTTAAAAAAACTGTACAGAGAGGGACACACAGGCACGAAGATACACAAGTGGGAGATGGGACAAAGAGCTGGAAAAGACAACACAAAAACAAGAACTGAACCAAGGGTCATAAGAATAAAAGACGGCACGGAGGAAAAATGCTTGTTACTAGTTTCACTAACATTCCTGTAAAGCCTTTTGATTAAAGTCTGTGTCTTAAATTACAAAGGCTGAATTTTGGCATTTATATATATGTAACAAATATACAGAAAAGCACGGATCTCAACTTTATTATCTTTTTGATGTGAGGATTTTTTTTTTTTTTTTTTGCATGTGATTTAGATTGTGCTCTTCAGAAAATGTAGCAAAATTGCTGCAATTGATAAGGGTCCTGACCAGGCGTCGGTGCAAACATGAAGGAGATTTGAACAGCTAAACTGTTACGAATTCTTTCTTTTCAGTTCTACACTTCATTTGAATATTAGTTAAATCCACATATGCCTATTCGCTTACACTCACTCACTCTCTCTTTCCAAGGACTCTGCAATGGCACTTTTTTAAAATAACATCTGGTATTCCTTCATATTTTGGCAGTCGTCACATCACCAAAAATCAGCTTTTCGTTTTCTTGGTACGCCGAGCCCTCGTGATCAGTAGTAATTGGGTTTCAAACTATCAAAAGATTTTTTTTACTCAACTCTATTTCTGATTTGAGCTTAATAAATCATCAATCATGAGACCAGCTATTCACCCAACAATGCAAAAGCTATATTACATCCCCTTATTCACAACATGGAAAACAGACATAAAAGAATGAAAAACAAAATACTGAATAGATCTTCAAATGCATTTTATCCATGTCAATTTGCATTTATTTTTTTTTTACTCAGAATAAAAAAACACAAGAAAGAAAAGGCTTCCTATTGACAACTCAATTAAGCCATTAAAAACCTACATTCAAGTAACATTACAGGAGAGATTTAAAACCCACAAAGGGAAAGAGAAAAAAGCCTGCAAGTCCAGCCCATAACGCATTGGGTCATGCCTGGTTAATACAACAGCCAAGATCTTAGGCTGTTTAAGGAGCCCTTTAATACCAGTGGGGCAATTTAGGCCAGTCTCAATCTAAAGTTCTGACTCTGCTTGTGTCTGTGGGTTTAAAATGAGTCGCTTCACATTATTTGAATTTAACTCTGTGGTTTTATTGCTGTTGTTGGTAGATGGGTTTAGAGGTAGGAGGATGTTTCTTCACAAGTATTTATTTAAAATTAATTTATATTTTTAAGAAGAAGAAACTAGGCCACACAAAATAGGAGGAGGGAAAACATCTCATGTCGCTTACATGGAAAAAGTAAAAAAAAAACCAAATGAGCTATTTCCAGCCAGGATTCGTGCCCTGGTTCTTTCAGGCATGTTAAGGTGTGCCCAGTATTTTCCCTACATCCAGAGATTCCTACACAGAGGATTGCCTTGGCATTGCCTGCCTAGGGAGCACAGTGAGTTGGCGATGGGCAGTCTTTGGGGACATGAGTGACACAGTTGTTATGTGATGGCTTTGTGAAATTAAAGCAACCAGACAATCAAAATCATTTGCTTTACTCAAAAAAAGCATTACACTTGCTGACTGGACTCTAAGCAGCATCTCCAAGGTATACCACACCAAAATACAGTGGACAAACTCCTTAATTCCATAAAGGCACTCTCACAAAGCCACCAACACTCCTACTCCAGCATGGTGACATCATTAAAGCATATGTGCCCCATGCAAACAATGCTCTCATGCCCAGTGTTAAAGTGAACGCAAATGCTAACTACTTTCTGCCTGTCAATTGTCTCAAAATTTTACCCACTAATAGTGGAAACGGCTGTTTTGCTAAAAGTCATTTCCAAGGCTTTAAAGGACAGAACCATGGATGCTTGTTCACAGAGTTTGGGTGAGGCTGGGTCCAGACAGCAATCATTTATTTTCTTGGCTTTTTATTGCTCTGCAGAACCAGGGTAAGAAAGGATCTAGAACTTGCCAACCTATTCTTTTCCTTATTTTTCTTGTTCTACAGTATCAAAATGAGGCAAAGGGGGCAGAGGAAATGTTTTGGTGTTGGGCCAAAGTGTTGCATGTGAAACTTCCTCCCCGTGGCTGCTTTCTGCACAAATCAATAACGGGGTGGTGAAGGCAAGCACTGCCAGTGCCTTCACTGCAGAGGTGCTGCTGGGTGCCCTGCCTGCCCCAGCACCCTGCCACAGCCACTGCCCACCCTTGTGCCCACCTGGGGGACAAGGCACAGGCTATCCCACGGGCCACCCTTCTCTGGGACAAGCTGGGGAACCCAGAGTCCACCGTTCCTGGGGACACAGTTCCTGGTAGCCAGGTACAGGATACAGCCTAGAAATGTGCTGCAGCACGTCAAGTGCACGGTTCTCCTCACAGTCACTGCTGTCTTGAAGGCACAGCACAGAGAGCTCAGCCTAGTTGGGGAGCAAGCACAAAGGACTGATATGCTCTTGAGGGTGTTGGCCCAAAGCAGGCCTGAAAATTATGTCCCTTCAATCAACACCCACATGTCACATTTACTGTAACATCAACATGCTTAACGGAAAGTAGCTCGAATCACACGCTCTCTGGCTGGGTTATCACCGAGATCGGTGTCAGGATCCTTGCTGCACAAAGACTAACGCTGCTCAAAGCGGGCAACGCGGCTCTTTGCCGTCGAAGTTTATCAATAACCCGCTTCCAGAGCATCTCAGCAGCTCCCTGCAGCCACAAGGTGCAGAGTTGAGATTACGCCTACATATTGCACCAGCATCACACTCAGCAGTACCAGGCACCGCTTATCTGACACCAATTTTTAATTTTTCTGAAGACAGCAAAGCAACTGTTTG